CCCGGGTATGCATAGCCCCGTGGCTCGGTGAAGTGGAAGTTCTGGTGCTTCAATAGCGACGTTGTGGCTGGGCCCCGCAAGCCGGCTCTGGTCGTCCGTTTTGGGCATGGTGCTGCATAGATTGAGTGTGGGTTGGTGGTGACCGGTCAACTCCGTGGCTATAGATCACCGGGACATGTCTGCCAATCCCTGCCCTGGCTTGCACACTTTCCCCTGGGTGTGCATTGCCCCGTGGCTCGGTGAAGTGCAAGTTCTGGTGCTTCAATAGCGGCGTTGTGGCTGCGCCCCGCAAGCCGTCTACCAAGAGAATAAAGGCGGTAAGAGCACCAACGGCGGCCGGCCAAACTCCAGTAGTGACAGCCAGGTGGGTCACCAGCAGCACACAATACTCAATTGGGCCACCAGCAGCACGCAATACTCAATTGGGCCACTAGCGTCACACAATACTCGATTGGGTCACCAGCGGCACGCAGCCCCCAAATCCAAATAGTAAAGGCAAGGTGGGCAACCAGCGTCAAACAATACTCGATTGGGTCACCAGCGGCACGCAGCCCCCAAATCCAAATAGTAAAGGCGAGGTGGGCAACCAGCGTCAAACAATACTCGATTGGGTCACCAGCGGCACGCAGCCCTCAAATCCAAATAGTAAAGGCCAAGAGGGCCACCAGCGGCACGCATTACTGAAATGGGTCACCAGCAGCACGTGAGTCTGTCAAGTGCATTTTAACAAAGTCAGTGTCCCCGGGCTTAATAGTGGGGTGCCCGGGCACGGCTGGTGAACGGGTTCCATGTGGTGGGGTCGTAGGCCGGCCCATGTCTCCCGGCTTCAAGCCCAGGCCGGCCAGCCAGCCAGCCAGCCAGCCAGCCACCCCCAATCCAGCCAGGCCAGGTCAGGTCAGGCAAGCCCAGGCCGGCCAGCCAGCCAGCCAGCCAGCCACCCCCAGCCCAGCCAGGCCAGGCCAGGTCAGGCAAGCCCAGGCCGGCCAGCCAGCCAGCCAGCCAGCCACCCCCAGCCCAGCCAGGCCAGGCCAGGTCAGGCAAGCCCAGGCCGGCCAGCCAGCCAGCCAGCCAGCCAGGCCAGGCCAGGTCAGGCAAGCCCAGGCCGGCCAGCCAGCCAGCCAGCCAGCCACCCCCAATCCAGCCAGGCCAGGCCAGGTCAGGCAAGCCCAGGCCGGCCAGCCAGCCAGCCAGCCAGCCAGCCACCCCCAATCCAGCCAGGCCAGGCCAGGTCAGGCAAGCCCAGGCCGGCCAGCCAGCCAGCCAGCCAAGTCCAGCCAAGCCCACCCCCAGTCAGCCAGCCAGCCAGCCAGCCAGCCAGGCCAGGCCAGCCAAGCCCAGCCCAGCCCACCCCCAGTCAGCCAGCCAGCCAGGCCAGGCCAGGCCAGCCAAGCCCAGCCCAGCCCACCCCCAGTCAGCCAGCCAGCCAGCCAGCCCAGGCCAGCCAAGCCCACCCCCAGTCAGCCAGCCAGCCAGCCAGCCAAGCCCACCCCCAGTCAGCCAGCCAGCCAGCCAGCCAGGCCAGGCCAGGCCAGGCCAGCCAAGCCCAGCCCAGCCCAGCCCAGCCCACCCTCAGTCAGCCAGCCAGCCAGCCAGGCCAGGCCAGGCCAGCCAAGCCCAGCCCCAGTCAGCCAGCCAGCCAGCCAGCCAGCCCAGGCCAGCCAAGCCCACCCCCAGTCAGCCAGCCAGCCAGCCAGCCAGCCCAGGCCAGCCCAGCCCACCCCCAGTCAGCCAGCCAGCCAGCCAGCCAGCCCAGGCCAGCCAAGCCCACCCCCAGTTAGCCAGCCAGCCAGCCAGCCAGCCAGCCAGGGCAGGGCAGGCCAGCCCAGCCCAGCCCAGCCCACCCCCAGTCAGCCAGCCAGCCAGCCAGGCCAGGCCAGGCCAGGCCAGCCAAGCCCAGCCCACCCCCAGTCAGCCAGCCAGCCAGCCAGCCAGCCCAGGCCAGCCAAGCCCACCCCCAGTCAGCCAGCCAGCCAGCCAGCCAGCCCAGGCCAGCCAAGCCCACCCCCAGTCAGCCAGCCAGCCAGCCAGCCAGGCCAGGCCAGGCCAGCCAAGCCCAGCCCACCCCCAGTCAGCCAGCCAGCCAGCCAGCCAGCCAAGCCCACCCCCAGTCAGCCAGCCAGCCAGCCAGGCCAGGCCAGGCCAGGCCAGGCCAGCCAAGCCCAGCCCACCCCCAGTCAGCCAGCCAGCCAGCCAGCCAGCCCAGGCCAGCCAAGCCCACCCCCAGTCAGCCAGCCAGCCAGCCAGCCAGGCCAGGCCAGGCCAGGCCAGGCCAGCCAAGCCCAGCCCAGCCCAGCCCAGCCCAGCCCAGCCCAGCCCACCCTCAGTCAGCCAGCCAGGCCAGCCAAGCCCAGCCCACCCCCAGTCAGCCAGCCAGCCAGCCAGCCAGCCCAGGCCAGCCAAGCCCACCCCCAGTCAGCCAGCCAGCCAGCCAGCCAGCCAGCCAAGCCCACCCCCAGTCAGCCAGCCAGCCAGCCAGCCAGCCAGCCAGGCCAGGCCAGGCCAGGCCAGGCCAGGCCAGCCCAGCCCAGCCCAGCCCACCCCCAGTCAGCCAGCCAGCCAGCCAGGCCAGGCCAGGCCAGCCAAGCCCAGCCCACCCCCAGTCAGCCAGCCAGCCAGCCAGCCAGCCAGCCAAGCCCACCCCCAGTCAGCCAGCCAGCCAGCCAGCCAGCCAGCCAAGCCCACCCCCAGTCAGCCAGCCAGCCAGCCAGGCCAGGCCAGGCCAGGCCAGGCCAGCCAAGCCCAGCCCAGCCCAGCCCAGCCCAGCCCAGCCCACCCCCAGTCAGCCAGCCAGCCAGCCAGGCCAGGCCAGGCCAGCCAAGCCCAGCCCACCCCCAGTCAGCCAGCCAGCCAGCCAGCCAGCCCAGGCCAGCCAAGCCCACCCCCAGTCAGCCAGCCAGCCAGCCAGCCAGCCAGCCAGGCCAGGCCAGGCCAGCCCAGCCCAGCCCACCCCAGTCAGCCAGCCAGCCAGCCAGGCCAGGCCAGGCCAGGCCAGGCCAGGCCAGGCCAGGCCAGGCCAGCCAAGCCCAGCCCACCCCCAGTCAGCCAGCCAGCCAGCCAGCCAGCCAGCCAGCCCAGGCCAGCCAAGCCCACCCCCAGTCAGCCAGCCAGCCAGCCAGCCAGCCAGCCAGGCCAGGCCAGGCCAGGCCAGGCCAGCCCAGCCCAGCCCAGCCCAGCCCCAGTCAGCCAGCCAGCCAGCCAGCCAGCCAGCCAGGCCAGGCCAGCCCAGCCCAGCCCAGCCCAGCCCAGCCCAGGCCAGCCAAGCCAGCCCACCCCCAGTCAGCCAGCCAGCCAGCCAGCCAGGCCAGGCCAGGCCAGCCAAGCCCAGCCCAGCCCACCCCCAGTCAGCCAGCCAGCCAGCCAGCCCAGGCCAGCCAAGCCCACCCCCAGTCAGCCAGCCAGCCAGCCAGGCCAGGCCAGCCCAGCCCAGCCCAGCCAGCCAGCCAGCCAGCCCAGGCCAGCCAAGCCAGCCCAGGCCAACCCAACCAGCCCAGGCCAGCCAAGCCAGCCCACCCCCAGTCAGCCAGCCAGCCAGCCAGCCAGGCCAGTCAGTCAAGCCAAGCACAATGTCAGTTGTGGGTAACCAGCAGCACCAATCTGAGAGACAAAGTTATTTTTGGGTGACCAGCAGCACAGTTTCATTGCAAAGTTAGTTGTGGGTAACCATCGGTACCGTTTCTGAAAGCGAGAAGCCTTAAATCACCAGTCCACTCCGACATCCATGACCCTCGAGCTCTGGCCTCAAGCCGGGCAGGGTGTGACCTCTCGGGCCTTTCCCTGCCGGACGTCCGGGTAACCGTAGCTGGTTATCGCTGACCTGCCGTCGAGGTTTCGGGGAAGGCGTGATTTAGCGGACTTAGGTTTTGAGCGCGTAACTACGTGCCACCGCCTTCCACCACATGACCGATGGGAAATGTGCGCGATGCCCCAGGGGCAGGCCCCTCGCCCGGTCATCTGACAAAGGGGACCGCTGTGGGTGGGGTGAGATCCTCCCCGATTTGGGCATTCGAAAGGAGGGCGAGGTGGGTCTTCACCCGGTCCTCGACCCTAGCTTATTGGGTGAAATAGACTCAGATGGCCCGTCTGCCTCGGAATGTCCTACATTGACGGGAATAGGTGCGTAAGTTGGTGTTGTGCGTGCGCCTTAACCGGGCAGCATCCCTCCCTGTCCTCCCCACCCTCCCGGGCTGGACCCCGGGCGTGTTGGCTGGCGGCGGGGTAGGATTGGTGTGCCGGGTAGGTGTGCGCGGCATCTCTGGCGCAGTTGTTCCCGTTACGAAGCACGAACCTTCCTGGTGATGGCCTCGATTAGAAGCCATGCCCGTTCGCGGCATACCCCAACCCCCCTTCTGCGTGAAGGCCGGATGGGTGGCGGGTAGGCAGTGGGTAACCGCCGCCTCTCCCCCCCTCTCCCTCTGGCATTTTACCTGATGTGTGAGGGGCTACCTGGTTGATCCTGCCAGTAATATATGCTTGTCTCAAAGATTAAGCCATGCAAGTCTAAGTGCACACGGACGGTACAGTGAAACTGCGAATGGCTCATTAAATCAGTTATGGTTCCTTTGATCGCTCCTCCCGGTTACTTGGATAACTGTGGCAATTCCAGAGCTAATACATGCCAACGAGCGCCGACCTGGGCCGCCCTTCTCCCCCTATGTGGCGGGGTGGGGTGGGTCCCCGGGGACGCGTGCATTTATCAGATCCAAAACCCATGCGGGTGCGCGGGCGGTGGAGAGGGGGGCCTCGCGCCTACCCGCCGCCGTCCGCCCCCGGCCTCGCTTTGGTGACTCTAGATAACCTCGGGCCGATCGCACGCCCTCGCGGCGGCGACGGTTCATTCGAATGTCTGCCCTATCAACTTTCGATGGTAGGTCCGTCGCCTACCATGGTGACCACGGGTGACGGGGAATCAGGGTTCGATTCCGGAGAGGGAGCCTGAGAAACGGCTACCACATCCAAGGAAGGCAGCAGGCGCGCAAATTACCCATTTCCGACACGGAGAGGTAGTGACGAAAAATAACAATGCAGGTCTCCTTCGAGGCCCTGTAATTGGAATGAGCGTATCCTAAACCCATGGGCGAGGACCCATTGGAGGGCAAGTCTGGTGCCAGCAGCCGCGGTAATTCCAGCTCCAATAGCGTATGCTAACGTTGCTGCAGTTAAAAAGCTCGTAGTTGGATCTCGGGGACCGGGCCGCGCGGTCCGCCGTGAGGCGAGCCACCGCCGGTCCCGGACCCCCAGGCCTCCCGGCGCCCCCCGGATGCCCTTGACTGGGTGTCCTCGGCTTGGGGCCCGGAGCGTTTACTTTGAAAAAATTAGAGTGTTCAAGGCAGGGCCGACTGCGCCCTTATGAATACCCCAGCTAGGAATAATGGAATAGGACCCCGGTTCTATTTTCTGTGGGTTTCCGGAACCCGGGGCCATGATTGAGAGGGACGGCCGGGGGCATTCGTATTGCGCCGCTAGAGGTGAAATTCTTGGACCGGCGCAAGACGGACTGGAGCGAAAGCGTTTGCCAAGAACGTTTTCATTAATCAAGAACGAAAGTCGGAGGTTCGAAGACGATCAGATACCGTCGTAGTTCCGACCGTAAACGATGCCGACCCGCGATCCGGCGGCGTTACTACCACAATGACCCGCCGGGCAGCGTGTGGGAAACCACGAGTCTCTGGGCTCTGGGGGGAGTATGGTTGCAAAGCTGAAACTTAAAGGAATTGACGGAAGGGCACCACCAGGAGTGGAGCCTGCGGCTTAATTTGACTCAACACGGGGAACCTCACCCGGCCCGGACACGGAAAGGATTGACAGATTGATAGCTCTTTCTCGATTCTGTGGGTGGTGGTGCATGGCCGTTCGTGGTTGGTGGAGTGATTTGTCTGGTTGATTCCGATAACGAACGAGACTCTGGCATGCTAACTAGTTACGCGGCCCCGCGCGGTCAGCGTCTGCAACTTCTTAGAGGGACAAGTGGCGTTCAGCCACGCGAGACTGAGCAATAACAGGTCTGTGATGCCCTTAGATGTCCGGGGCTGCACGCGCGCCACAATGGGCGGATCAACGTGTGCCTACCCTGCGCCGAGAGGCGCGGGTAACCCGTTGAAACCCGCTCGTGATTGGGACCGGGGATTGCAACTATTTCCCTTGAACGAGGAATTCCCAGTAAGCGCTGGTCATCAGCCAGCGCTGATTAAGTCCCTGCCCTTTGTACACACCGCCCGTCGCTACTACCGATTGAGCGGCACAGTGAGGTCCTCGGATCGGCCCCGCCCGGGGCCCTTTATCGAGCCCTGGTGGTACACCGAGAAGACGATCGAACTCTGTCGTTTAGAGGAAGTAAAAGTCGTAACAAGGTTTCCGTAGGTGAACCTGCGGAAGGATCATTAACGTGCGTCTGCTCGCCAAATGTCCTGGCACGCGAGGGCGAGAGGGTCCCTCCGGGGTTACCCCCCGCCTCTTTGAAGGTGCGCCCGACTACCACCTTTTCCCCTCATTGCTGATTGGGTGAGTGCCGGGGTGGGTGTTCGAGTGTCCCTCGGACTCCAACCGTGCTCGCGCCTACTCGGTGGAGGGGGGGACTGTGTTGGTTGGACACGGGCTTCGGTGACTCAGTGGTTGGCAACTCGAGCTCCCGTCGGGTACCCGCCTGGTCTCACGTTCTCTCTCTCTCTGCTGCTGCGGGGGGGGGGATTTGTGTGGGCCGTGGGTTTAAAACTCTATTCTCAGCCCCGCCTCGGGGCTGGGTTGAAAGTGCCCGACTAGGGGCCTTGTCGGCCGATGCTTTTGGTTTCCCACCCCTGGTACATTTTTGTCTTGAACCAAAAATGAAAGAAAAGTACAACTCTTAGCGGTGGATCACTCGGCTCGTGCGTCGATGAAGAACGCAGCTAGCTGCGAGAACTAATGTGAATTGCAGGACACATCGATCATCGACACTTCGAACGCACTTTGCGGCCCCGGGTTCCTCCCGGGGCCACGCCTGTCTGAGCGTCGCTTTGCCATCGATCGGGGCCTCCGCGCCCCGCGGCTGGAACGTCGCAGGCCTTCGGGCCTACGTCCTCCTAAGCGCAGACCGTCACGACCCCGTCTCTCTACCGTGGTCCGAACCTCCGTCTTCCCCTCGTCAGCGGGGGGAGGACGGCGCGTCGGGGACCGCGAGGGTCCTCCTCTCGCGGCTGCCGGTGGGTCTGACCCCGACCGCTGCCCGTGTCCGGAGCGCGCCCTCTCACCCCTCGGCGCGAGCGTTCGTCCCACGACGAGAGACGCGAGCGCGGCCCTTCGATCTCCGAGGCCAGTGCCCCCCTCCTCGGACGGGGGCCGGCCGATCCTCTTACCCTCGCTTACGACCTCA